ATAAAATTTTGAACACACGTCATCAAATGTGATGACATGGCCTTTGACCTGTTACCCGTCTGGAGAGGGTTAATGTGTGATTTTATCAAGTTGATAAATACTTCATTTTTGCACTATCTAATGAGAGCTTTAGAATCTTGTACTTTATCCTCATACTTTGAAAATAATGTGAAATCAGAATAAACAATGTGACTACAACAATTACAATTGTTTTTATAAAAGGTTAGATTTCTAGATAAACTTTATACAGTTGGATGTATCTCGTGTTTGTCGTGGGTCATTTCATAATATTGTTTAAGGTTTTATGCTTCATCATTCCATCTCAGAATTGTTAGTAATTTGAACTTTGTATAAACAAAATATTGTATAGAAGCATAATAAATTATTTCTATCAATTATCATTTTTTATTATTGCATTAATTTTCTTTCATAGTAGCAATTAATATGCTGCTTACAGATATACTTCTACGTGCATTTAATGTTTTGCACTACCTGGTGTCCTCATTTGGTTTTTGTCACTTTTGCTTCTTTATGTTTTATTTATATATGTATATACACAAAATAATTTGATAGGAAGTTTGAAACTGTACAGTGATCTATACAGTTATTTTACAATTTAAAGGAGTCATTTCTCTTGGAGTCTGACTTTTCTACTACCACCTGCTTCCCTTACATCAGTGATACATGTAACAATCCTCACAAGATGAGTCTAGTAACAGCTAATGGTGAACTTCAACATGTTGCTAGAAAACTCTCAACTCTGTCCTCATCTGGATGCTCCATAAACCAAGATGTCTGGAACCTAAATAAAGCTTCCTTATTGGAAATTATTAATTATATAAGTTGTGCTGTGTGGGAGGAACATCCTGTGGCTTTCAAAACTGCAAAACTCATTCTTTTAAAGCTTGTGGCAGTATGGAATGAACAAGAAAAAAACAGAATAGCAAAGCAGGAAGAACAGGAAAGTTTATTTGAATATAAAGGATTTAAACATGAAAATGAACTTCCAGATGAAGAAAAGGACAGTCAGGAAATTATCAAACACTTTCCTACATATAAAGAGGTAAATCTTAATTTTAAATTTTTACTTAATAAAACATCATAAAGATTCATTAATGGTGAAGGCAAAACAAGTATTTTATAGTATGTAATATAGTATAAGTGTTAATGGTGGTAAAGGTTCAGCATTCATGCTTCTGAGAAATTGTCATTACCTAGCTTGTTGAGAACTCACTTTTCTTAGTAGTAAAAAATGTTATTATTGGTACTTAGGTACTTTTGTACTGAGAAAAAGATGTTATTTCTAACAATTATCTGATAGAAATGCACTTCTTGATAGGTATGCTCTTTTTTGTTTGTTAATTCTTAAGAGTTGAAAGAGTACCATCTGATGTATTTTAAGCTGTAACCGTTAATTCCTAGCTCATAAAAATATATTTTTAAATAATTTGAAACTTATAATGATTATTTGATTAAAAGTTACTATTGACTTAGTAGAAAAATATAGTTGTTTGTAGTAAGAGGGTAGAACGTTATTTTCTACAAAAACCTGCATTATTATTGATTGAATGTACTTAATAAGGAGAATAAGCTCTAATTATTGTATTAACTAACTGGTACTTCTTACCCAGTAGAAAGTTCTAATTATTGTAATAACTTGTTAATACATTAGTACAAAGTTATAGTTATAGTATGATTTGTTAAAGGTACTTTAAAACTAGTGCAAAATTGTAATGGCTAGTAAGAATTGGTTGGTAGGTGCTTTACAGCTAGTAAAACTATATATCTAGATGAAATATCATAGAAAGATTATTATATTAAACATCATACATCTTAGTTACAGCTAATTCATAATCTAAATAAAAATCAATCCTCTTAAAAATTCAGAATAATATAATTTCTTGATTAGAATCTTATCAAAATTAGCTTGTAGTTTAGGCATCTGTTTTTGTAAATTTTATTTTGCCAATATTATATTGTGTGTCTGAGAAAAGGAAACTATTTTGAAAATATGAGAGAAACACATCAAGAAATAATTTCCAGTTTAGTTCTTCAACAGTCATAAAATTAGAAGTTTTGATCTGTAAATGCAATTCCAGGTTTTATTTCATTGTGATTTCATGGGCTTTCATACAAAAATTATCAGGGTATCTATATCTTAGCAATATGCTGAACAAATGTATCCATTAATAATAACAAGGTCTCTGTACGTTGACTGTAAAATGACCTTAAATGAATTCTTGTATGAAAGACCAAATATAATTATAATACCCATTATTATAAAAATGAAACAGATTGGTAACCATTATGACTGATTTCTATCTTAATTATGCACACTTTCATTGAGGAAAAGAAGTTATGACATTATTGAAATTATGCTTGTAGCTTCAGTATGTTATTTTTATATTAATTAATTAGTGCTTTTAGAGTTGCATTGTTATTTCTGTTATCTGATTTTTATAGATTAATTTTTCCTACATTTGTCTGTAAAATAATTGAAATATTACTAAAAATATGTGTGCATGATGATTTCTGTGTTTGTAAGCAGCTCGTATGATCAATTCTAATGCTAAAAGATTTTTGTTCTCTGAATATTTCCATACATGGCAGGACTTTGCAGATCTGATGTGTTCCCCAGCAGAAGCTTTGAACACAACAAGAGAGAATCAAGCAAAAGATGAGATGGTTCACATGACAGATCAACAGTTATCTGAGGACCAGATGTTAGAAGTTTTTTACATCCACAACCAACTAGTGAAACTACTACAGAAGTCAAAATCATCACTGTCTCCAGATTTTGTTACCCCATTTTTGCTGCGACACAGTGTGGTAACTCGTATATCTGAATCGATTGGCTTCAGTTTAGGTAATTAACCCACAAAATATTTTAACCATTAGTCTGCACACAGTTTTCTAAATCTGTTATTATGTAATCGCTAAACACTAAAATTTGACACTTTTTTTTTTACATGTTATTGTTATATTCTTGCTGAAACAGTTGATGATCCACAAACTTGAGTTTGAAACAAGTAAAAATTTAAACATATAAACTCTTGTTATACAACAAAACCCACATACTAGTTATCCATTTGTGTTAAGTTTTTTTACCAGTTGTCCAACCCATGTTTGTTATTTCTATACATATGATTTTATACCGATTATAAGTCTGTCATTAAAATTAATTATTGGCTGATAGCTTGGATAATATCAGAATGTAAGTTTTAATTCCTTTTCTTTCTTTTTTACTTGTATGAAAAGTGTAAAAAACTTTGAACATTGATAATTTGACAGTCTTTTTTTTTGTGTAAAGCAGTTAGAGTTGCTCTAAACTTACTTGTGATAGTATTAATTAGACAACTTTGCGTTATAGGTAATATTTTAGGTATATGTGTTAAGACATAAATTAATTTAAATCAAATATCTATTTATAATCCTGCTTCGTGAAGTTCCAGATAAGGAAGTAAAGATTAAAAAAGTTTTTTCTGCATTATTCAGTAATTTATGTAAAAGTGATACAGAAAGCTTTGCAGAAACGTTTCTTATGGAGATATTGATGTATTATAAAGTATTTGTTTACTTTCTTGAACAGTGTAAGTGTCTGTGTGTGTTTACAGTTAAATTATTCTTTAGTGGTGAAATACAAGTTGTTTTTAGTTAATGTCCATCAAAACTAGCATAATGTGATGTAATATCATATTTGTAAAGCACAGTCTAGTTAGTATAGTAACAGTATTATTAATTCAAGTCTTTTGTAGTGGTTAACTCTAAAAAATCAGAGGTGTGGTATTTTTGAGTAACGGTTCGAAAAGGTATTCTTTAACTTATTTTCAGTATATTGTTAACCAATATTCTCAGTTCGTTTTAAACATGTTACAAGTAATCAGCTATTTTGAAGTCAAGTAGAACTATTGAATGTTAGAAAGTATTTAAATTATTTATTCAGTTTTTGGTTTTATGCTACAAGTAAACATTTTGAAATATTATGGCAGTATCACACATTTTCAAGGATAATAACTTTTTATTTTAGTCTTTGTTAGCTAAGTGTTTTGGGGTCATAAAGTCACAGAACAAAAACATTCAAATGAAAAAGTAGAATCAAATATTATTTGGCAGCTACAAAAATAACCAGAGCCATGTTTATTTTCACGTACCAGTATTTTGTGGTTCTCTTGTGATTTAAAAATGGCCTGCAATTTGTCATACATACACACACACAAACACACATATACATATATACATACAAATAGACAGATAGATAAATTTATATACTACACAATTGATATGTTAACAGTGCAACCAGCTTAACCTTGGGTGACAATCCTGGGAAATTCATATAAAAGGAATGATGTATACAAGTTTTGGATGTTTTAGCTTCATAAGTGTTTGTGGACAACTTAATGAAATAAGTAATTAATAATTTTAAACTTAGAACTGTTTTATTTATTGTTTGCATACAGATGCACTACTAGACAAAGACCTTATTGGTGGAATTGTAACATCATTATCAATTAGTCGTATGGGCTTTCTTCCATCAGATCAGCAAATGGTGAGAGTTGTGTTAAGAGGTTAAAATGAAAGGATTTGTCCTTAAAATAATAATCCATTTTCTTATTAATATTTTGATTAAAAGTCAGTTGAAAAATGGTGGAATTTTTTTTTTTTTTTTTGCACTTAACACTTGTATAAGGAATAGAATGGAAGAATAATAGTTTGTTTTCAAGGTTAAACTTAATTATAAAAGTTATGGTGTTTAAGAATTGTGTCCAGATGAATTTTTGTGTGCCTGTCTTATTCAACTGAATGTGCCCAAGATCATTCTATTACCAACTCCACATTGATAATAATTCTAATAAATGTATGAAGTGTACCTCCTCATGATCTGTGCTTCTCTACAACTTTATCCCTGACATGTTTGGAAAACTCCTTGGTCTTTGTGGTTGGTTTGTTGTATCACTATTTGAGTTGTGTCTTGAACAGATGCATTTACTCTGAAGTCAAGTTAAACTACTTTGATTACACACAGACAAAGATCATTACACTAATTTTGTGACTTTTCAAACTAATCTTTTGCACCTGAATACTTATGTAATTGACAATACTTTAATTATTTTTTTAAATCTGACTTGCATACATAGTATCAGAAGTTTTTTAGCTTTCTCAGTTTGGAGTAGATTGTGTATAAATCTTGTGTCATGTTTACTTTCCAAACATTTTTGAATATCAAAACTCATTTCAATCATATTTGCAAAGTTTTTATTTTAACTGTTTCACAAAAGTTAAAAGATGGCTTTATTTGGGTGGAAATTGATGTATCTAGGCCACTTGCACCTGGATTGTCAATATGTACAATACCTCACTGTTAATGGCTACTCTATACTAAAAAAAAATATTTCATTATTAAAAGTACAGTTTAAATGCCAAAATCTTGCAAAACATTAGAAGCCAATAGGCCTGACATTTGTGTTAATCATGGAAATATTAAGAGGAATGTGGAAAAAAACATGCTGTTTACATGGTTTCTATCTTATTACTAACTCCATTGAGCAAATACTTGAGCACAGCATTTCTAATCATGCAGCCATCAAAACTGCAATGCAGCGGCCAGATGTTGTCAGTCTAGTTGGCTGGCCTGCATGCTACTTGCTCTGACAACCAATCAAATGAGTTGAAGCTTTTGTCTTGCTGTTCCCATTTTCTGGATATGTGAGCAAGTGAAACTGTTTTGATAGTCACAATTGTAAAAACCTTGCAATATAAATTACTGAAATGTGGGTATTGTGATGTATTGATACTCAACAGTAAGAATCTGCAAATCTTCCATCTGAAATATGTACTACCAATTTTTTTCTAGTGCCTTCTAAGTTTTACTAGCAAAACAACACTACTACCATTAATTTCAAGCCCTGATTATGAGTATTAGACCTATTTTGTAAATGTCAAACAAAAATAACTCCTTAGTATTGCGAATTAATTTCATAAAATGACTTCCGTGCTTTTACCGGCATTTGCAAATTAAATAAATTTTAATGGTCTTTGAAATAGTACAATTCATATTATAAAATAAACTCAAAAGCCTTAAGTTATTGTGTATTGTGTTAATACTTTGTCAACTAAACTGTAAGCTAAACTTTAGATAAAGTAAAATCTTTTCTATTACACTGTCTGTTACTATTTTTTACACTGAAAATCCATTGAAGGTCTTTCACCTTAAATTGTTTTTCATAGTATACTAAAATAGTTATGTATTAATGTTGACTTGTAGATTAACCTTCTTTATTATTATTAATAAGATTATAAATTTTAACTGTATTTTCTTCCCATCTTTATTTTTTTCAAGTAAGAAAAACGTAAGATTTTAAAACTTTTGTGTATAGAATAATTTGATGTATGGATATTTGAGTAACTAAATATTTATACTGTGTTTTATCTAAGTAATTTTATAAGAAAATTATCAGTTGAGCTGTTTTGTTGACTTAACTGTTCAGTTCGAGACATCAGTAGCAGCAAAGGAAAGAGGATGTTATGACATCTATCAAGATCCTAATCCTTCTCAGGTTCTATGCTGTCGGTCCACTTTAGAAAGATTTAGGAGTCGGGTCAAATTGTTGCTGGAAACATTTGAGGACCATCCAACTCTGAAGCAAGTAGGTTTTAAAACCATTAATAGATTCTGTAAGATAAAAAGCAAAAGCAAAAATCTAATGAGCTTGTGGATAATTTATATAATGTATGTTGTTTTTCTCTATAGGAGATTTAATATTTTGAAATTAAACTAAGAGTTTACATTGTTATAATTGCAAACATATTTCCAGTATATTTACCTAATTAAATTAAGCCTTTATATTAAACCAAATATTTTACAAAATCTTGAAAGTATTGAATTTTTATATAAATTCATAAAAGTATATTGATTATGTTATTTTCTTATTGTGTGAATTTGTTTCCAAAATATTTACTCAATTAAACCTTCAAATTTATTTAAATATTTTATGTTTAACTTCAGATTTTAAAAGTTATTGAGCGAATTTTAAGCTTCTCGGTTGCAAGTCCTCTAATGAAGTTCATCACAGGTTTGGAACTGCTTCTGTCCACAGCACAGGTAAACTTTTTAAATTATGTGATTAATAGATCTGCATTGTAGTGAAAAACTTGATCAACTATTCTAATTTTGAACTGCATTTCAATCAAAACTGTAAAGTTTTTTAAGTAAACAATTATAGACAAATAATCTCAAAAAAGTTTGTTTTTTTTTGTTATATCCTCTTCAGCTAAGTATAGTAAAATCGATTTTAGTACTTTTTGAAGTTTGAATCCTACAGTAGCATGAAAAAGTTTTTACTGTGTTTTTATAAGCAGTAGCTAGCTAATTCTTGAATAATTTTTATAATAGCAGAACTTTAAAAATACAATATGAGTGAAACAGTCATTAAATAGTCACTGTCCCCCTCAAACAAAGTTTAACCACCATCTCCATACCTTTTGTACTTAGTCTAACTAAAAACTCGTAAGACTTTATAAAAAAAATTAGAGCTACACAAGAGCTACACAATTTAGTAATCCCAAGAAACAAGGTGCAACAAGACTCCTTCACCCAGAAAAATACACCATAGCTAAACATTCTTACAACAATGGACATCATTTGAATATTTTTAAGTACAATATATTACTTACTGCACAATACTGTAAACTCTCCAAAAATCAAAGAAGCTCACAATAAAGATGTTTAAACCAAAACCAAGAGTCAGAAACTCTCAGTAGCTGGAACCACGTTCTACAGAAACTTAACAAAATCGATATTCAACAACCTTTTCAAAGACCAATCAAAATTCATAGTTGAGGGCTGTCCTATGGTTTTACTATATTCCATCTTTTTTTTACAAGTTACAGACCTTGTGAATTACTGAGCATGGACCCCAAAACATCACCTCAAATATAAGAAAAATAACAGAAGTCCAAAGAACACTTGTTGAGCACACTTTAAAGGAAGATAATAAAAGAAAATTAGTATGTGGTTATGCCCAAATATACTCTTGAAAAATTAGATACCTCAAACCCCCAAATGATGTATTATTATTATTAGCCATTAGAGTATGAATGTATTTATTTAATCATGAACATCATAATTTCCAACTGTTAAAATGATGTATTGATGGCCTTTATTGTTTCTAGGATTGGGAAGTTAATGCTCACAAAGGAGTCTCACTACACAGTGAATTGGAAGCAACCACAGAATTGGTTATTAACTGGAGGAAGCTGGAATTAAAGTAAGTAACTACAGCTCATGCTTTATAGCTTTCACTAGTCAGTCAACAGTGTTGCTGAAAACTGTATAGTACAATATTATTTAGGGAACACTATTGTTAAGAACTGTTTAGTCCAATAATAGTCATTTAACACTGTTGTTAAGAGCTGTTTATTCTGGTATTATAGACAGCTAACACTGTTGTTATGAACTCTTTAGTTCAGTATTAATCATCTAACACTATTATTTATAATTTTTTAGTCCAATATTCATCAGCAGCCACTTGAATCTTGAGCACTACTTAGTGTAATGTACGTTACTTAATGTTACTTCCCGAGAACTGTTTCATCTATCATAAGTTATCTAATGCTTTTTTTTTATGATGTTTTGTATAGTCAGCTAACATTACTGTTACAAGCTGATTGGTTTCATTTGTTGATTAAATTTCATCACATATTAGCAACTTCTACATTTTTTTTAACAAAGCATTTTACTAACAGCATATTTTTATATTGTTTTTTCTACATTTTCAAAAATAATTAAGTTTATTGGTGAATCACCTGTGACCATAAATAATCTTTAAATAACATGCTGAAAATTCATTATTGAAAAAATGATTATGTTTAGAGAGACTTTATTCCATATCTTAGATATATTTGCACTGAACATTCTTGTAGATTACTATTATTTTGAAGGTTGTGTGAAGAAATGAGGTATCATGGATTTTTTTTTTCTCATTTTCAGGTGCTGGTCTCAGTGTCTAGATAATGTACAGAACAAGAAGCAGGATTCTTGTGCTAAATGGTGGTTTCACCTGTATTCTTTACTCTCTTCTGTGTTGGATTTTGATTCAAAGGTATTTTTAAAGTATTGTAACACCCAGTGGCATTTGAAATGTAAGGTGAATTGCTAGCATATGCATTATTTACATTTGCACTTAGTAAATATTTATGTTAGTATGAAAGATGGGATATTTACTCTAAAAAGCTAAACTTTTTGTGTTATTTAGAGTTGTATGATTTGATATTGATCTTATTACACAATTTGTTTTTCAAGATATGTTTTTGTTGTCATTTGAAACTTTAAACCAAGATATTTACAAAAATAACAAGTTTCCATTATGTTATCTGATTTCTTTCTCATAATGTTGCTTCTTATGTTTTTCAATGATAAACTATCTGTCTTTCTTTACCAGTTTTTGTTTATTTATAAACAGGAAAAAAACAATGAAACATGGAATGAAGAGCAAAAGATAAATATAGTTCAGTCTCTGCTTCACTTTATAGAAACATCCACACTTGGAGAATTTGAAGGAAGATTAAAACTGCTTCAAACTTTCATTTACCATATGAAATCCTGTGACAAAAGTTCTGCTCAAGGTTAGAAACTAAAAGTTTAGGTAAAGTTAAAATCTTACCACAATAAAGCTGTTTAAACACTTGATTTTCTCTGAGTCTTAGTCTGGGATGTTAGGTGTACTTTTGATTAAATTCAACATTAAATATTACATATGTATAGAATTTCATACTTTTTGCAAGGTTTATAGAAATTTTGTAAACCAATAACTAAATGTATACCAAGAAGATACAACAATGATGAGTTAATGATAAGATATGAAAAGTAAATTGATGTGCCTATAAGTATGAATAAAACTTAAAACAGTTAGGTTCAAAATCAATCGGACATTAGGCTAAGATCTGTACAGTCTAAAACCAACATTATTAAAACATTAGCTTGGGGAAAAAACGAATAGATGAGTTGTTTGTTTGGTACTTTTTCTTTTGTTTCATACTTGAGTAATCTTTGTAATACATTTCTGCACCTTTACATTGATTTATTCTACAAGCCTTCTGGTGCTGACACTTGAGCATGTCTTTTTCATAGTTGGAAGGAAAGATTTACTTGTTAGTGCTTAAGAATTTTTAGTACTATCAAAATTCTCTCACCCATGCATTAGGTTAAGGTCTAACAGTTCAGAGTTAGTAGGTGTCAGATATGAGCTTGAACAGTTAAAAGTATTCAGACATTAGAATAATGACTTCAGAATTTTATTTATTTTAGATCAAACATTTAAGTTCACTAAACTTGTCAGTCACTTCATTTTTACAGATGTATGACATACATACAAGTTAAAGGGTGTTTGACAATTGGAGATCTGTCAGTAATGGATTTAACCAAATTCATTGCTTTTAGTTAATATATGTGCTGCTTGCTTACTAAGCTTATGAATTTTTACATAAGTTAAGAAAAAGTAATAATTTATTTTAGTATAATAAAAAGCTGTATTTAAATTATTCTGTTTTTCCAAGTATTATTGACTTAATAGCTGTACAAATAAAATAATAAAAACCTTCAATTTTCTTCACAATACAGAAAATCTCCTTGCCATTTTTTCCAACATTTATCATTTCTATGGACAATTTTCAAAGACTGTTTCATCAAAGATTTCAACAGTGAGAACACCAATTGAAAAACAAATCAAGGTGTGTGGAAGTTAGTTCATACATACACAGTTTTTTAATATGATGTAACAAGTATAATATTGAATATCACTAACGATTACACACTGTGTTTGTTTTGATATTGAATTTACTTTTTAATATTTTCAATTATGTGATAGAATGCATAATTTTTTATCAGAAACATCAGTTATTGTTTAACCGATCATGTTACAATCAGACATCACTGATTGCAGGTTATTATAGCTCGCAATCGTCCTGATTCCGATTACGTACAGTAAAGTTGATGATGTCATTGTGTAGTATTGTTGACTACTTTAACCTTAAAAATTTTAACAACTACAGAGAATGTACTTTGAAGCTTCATTAAATTTGAAATGGTTGAAGTTGTCAATAAGTGTGCCATGTAAAAAAAAACAATCACAATATATTTTCAATTTTTTATTTTAACAAGTGAAAAATATAAATGGGGCTGACCTTGTGGCTAGTACATGATTGATACATAATGCTTGACCATTGTGAAGGAAAAACAAATTGTTGAGGTTCATTGCCTAAATTCATCACCTACTTTAGCCATGAATTTGAAAACTTTTGCTATCACTACACATTTTGAACTAAACCACTTTCTAAAACAAACGAATTCTTCCAACCAAAGGTCAAATAAAGTGACAGCTTTTGAAAGTTTTCATTCCTAAAGAGAGGAATCTTTGATCAGTTGCCAAAAAAATTTTTAAATATTCATGATTAAAAATGCTTCTAATTTTATCTTTATTGCATACTCAATGATCAACTTTCCAACCTTAAAAAAAGAAAAGACAACTTTAAATGCATTATGATAAAGAAGACCCACATTGTGCTGGTTGAATTATTCAAACTTTATCGCCTCCCAGCTTGGTCGATACACATGCTTTCATCAAATGTGTTTCAAATCTCAGCACTTATACTGTGTCACTTTTGACATTTGTCTAAAATCATGAAATATTAACTTTTACTGTCGATAAAGATGTATATGCTCCTCTGTTAGTTACAGGTGCAACGGACAATTGGTTATGAGAATTGCCCACCTTCATGATTCTTGTTTTTCAATTATTTGTTTCCCACTTGAAAAACCCAAAATATCTAGTTTTTCTCATTCAGAATCAATCTAACTAATCAGCATTCGTGTTCGTTGAGCCACAACTAACTTTAGGTAATTTTTGGAACTATGCATATGCATACATAATGGGACTGTCAAATGACGAAATGGAATTTTCCACAGCTGTCCAACAGGTTAGTTATTTTATAAATATCTTTATATACCTGTTTACCACTTTCATCTTATAATGACATCTCCAACAGTAACATGTGCAATTCAAATAACTAACAAATCCCATATTGGAAAGTAATGGGACATTCCAAATTTCCAATCACTCTGATGTCATGCGCTCTTAGGCTATCTCCTCAAACAATGCGCTAATACACAGTGAGGTACTAATGGGGAGCCACATGGCATGTCATCCTGACAACTTCGCAGAAAGTGTCCGTGTAGATCTCTTGCAAGCACGCGGTATGTGTATTACCCCTGTGCATAGGGTGCTGTTATCAACCGTTTACTAATGTACAGTGCGTAAAGAAATGGGTGTGCTTCTCAGTATGTGTGAGCATTGTTTTTTAACCTTTTGTTCAATGTATCAACTTATGTAAATAAATGAGAAACAAAAAGAGATTGTTTTAACTGATGATGTTTTATTCTATGGTGAATAATGTTTTGTGTTGAAAGAAAAAGTACAGGGTCGTGATTGTTAAGCATACTTACAAATCAGAAGGTTGTTCTTGTGAATAAAGTGGTCTTGGTGGTGTTATTTTTAATATCTCAGCAACCAGTTTTCTGTGATTGAGAAATCGACAATTTCTATCGATTTCCTATTGTAGAACCAATTATTGGTAAAACACTGGTTACAGTTATTGAAAAATATGAACCACTATTATCAAGACATTTTGCAATTATCTTATTTAATTACTCTTTTTAAACCTATATTTTAAAACAAATTTTACTAAAGACTAAAAGTAAGTATTTAACTATTAGATATGAAAAGTTTTCATTAGTTAGTGGATTTCTTACTTTTTTTAAGGTCATTCAGAGTTGTTTACAATATTCACAATTATCTGAAATTTTGGGGGTGGGGTAATACTTAATTACCTATTTTATCATTCAAATAATGCTTTATGTGAACCAGCTATTCTATATTTTAGTCCTGGTCAAAATGTCTTATTCCCTAAGTTTCAATATTCTGTGTGTAACTATTGAAATTTTTGATTAAGCAATGTCTAATTAACTCTCTCTATATGGGCTCGGTCAATTTGACAGATCACATGACCTCTTTTTACTCATTTAAATTAAAATTAAATTTAGATTTAATACTTGTAACTTTCAATATAATGTTTATATCTTCACAAAATTTGGCAGTCTTTCATTTATATTATAATTCTTTCACATACAAAAAATCATATTTTTAGTGAAGTATTTTTGATAAAATAAAATATAGATTTGTTCATGAATATATTGAGTATTTGTTTTGGATAGTACATGTGCAAAGTGATTATCATGTTAGAATTAAAAATACTTTTCTTCATCACGAAAATCTCAGATTTTCTTTGTGTAATTCCTAAAATTTCCTAAATGCATTTCAAAGTTTTTTTTAGCAAAACTTTATAGTTTATATGTTATTTTCTCTACCCTATCTCAAAACACAATTGGTCAATTTGATCGACCTAATAACCACCAAAAAAAAAAATCGAAATAAATCTAAATTACCTTTTTTCTTTCTAAAGTCACTTCAAATTTGAACATGAAACTAATTTTTTTATCCTAAGTAGCTCTAAGTTCGTAACAGTATACTTCTATTTATAATTAAATTTTATTGTTTTATTACCCTTTGAACTGTGTCTAACTATTATCTGCACCATTATAAGTTGTAACTCACTCTGGTAATGTGCAACTCACGTTACACTAACAAATTACATTACCCATGAGCTACTACGAGCTGCTTGCATGTGCACCTCGTGAAACATTTTTATCATAATATTTTTATTATTATTTATTTTACCTAATCTAATCTTAACTAACCTAAAAGGATCCCTATTTT